GAGGGGCCGTCTCCGAGCCCGGGGCGCCCATGTTTATGAGGGGCAAGTACCCCCGGACGGTAAACTTGCACCGCTTTTGTCATCCTCCTCCCGAGGCCACATCCCTCAGAAGAGCCATTCGCAGCCAGCAGCCCTCAGCCTCCGCTCCGGGCCAGAACCAGCTCCGAACCAGCTCCGAGCCGGGTGAAATGACCGGATAGCAGTCACTGCACCGCGGCCCCCAACGTCCCAAATCAACAGAGACCACAGGCAGCGGGGTGCGGTCCCGGACCTCGCGAATCTGACAGCCCGATTGTGGGCAACAGAGCAAAAACCAGGCCCCGGCGCTACTGGCGTCCCCAGCCGACCCTGGGCAGCCTGGGAAGTCTTTCTGGAAGGAAGCAGCCTCCTGGGGGAGGCCGGGGGTAAGGGGAGTCAGCGCGGGGAAGGGGTGGGAGGCAGGTTTCTGGCAAACGGAGGGAACGATGTGTGAAAGGCACCCAGGAACTGCACTTCCGCCTGGTTGAGCCCCATAGTGCCAGCATGTTACATCCAGCAGCACGTGTAGCCTGATGAGACATTTGGATGACAAGAAAATGGTTTTGAAAGAGATGACGAGGTTAGGTTTGCACTTGAAGAGTTGCTGCGTGGGGGAGCGCCTTTCTCCCCTTTTTGACAGCTGAGGTCTAGGAAGGCGGGTAGGGGTGGCTGCAAACATCCCTGTAGAGAAGTTCCCACAGAGGAAAGGCAATCCTTCAGAAAACGGATGGAATTTCAGGACCTCTCTCCCTTTCCTGCAGGCATGGGGGTAACTATTTATGAGATTGATTTTGAAATAAACAAATGAGGTGTTGGGAAGACGCCTTAGCTGGCTGGATTCCCGCTCTTCACATCAGAGATGATACGTGGGCTGGGCCCAGGCTACCCCGCTTCCCCGCCGCCCGCCTCGGGGCACCTGGGAGATAAAGAGGTCCTTTCCTCTCTTGGTTTCTTTCTTTTTAATAACTGAAACTTTCTCCATACATACACATGTATCTAATTTAGAAACTGCATAAAAATGATCATAAAGAAGTTTTAAATTTCTTTTGTTTACCCCTCCCCTCACTTCCTCCTTTGGAAATCATTGACAACTGTGTGTCCCACAGTTTTCTATGCTCATGAAATCAGACACACCTAGATATCTATAGGGCCTTGTCAATGCAGATGATAATTTTTTGTCAACTTTTTTTATTGTCTAAAGTTTTACATATGTCTCCTCCCCCCCTCCCCCCGATTTGTCAACTTACTCAACAAGGACTTAGCAAACAGTTAAGTAGCACTTCTCTGGCTAGGCACTGCTCTAAACACTTTCAACCTAGTTGCTCATTTAATCATCACAATCCTATGAAACAGGTGGTAGTAATATCTTCTTTGTTTCACAGGTGAGGAAACGGAGGCACAAAGGAATAAAGGGACACGCCCAAGTCACAAAATCGAGATTTTTACTCTGGCACCGGGAGTCCCTGTTCCTAGCCTCTCTGCCCCGTCCCACTCCAGCTGCCAGCATCCTAACTCCCCTCCCCTCAAAGCTACCAAAGTTCTGTTTCTTGTGATCTTTCCAGAGGAATTTCATGTATCTGTAAACAAAAACAAATACATATAGATTTTCTTTTACAGTCACAGGTAGCAGACGCTATAGGCAGGTCTGTGTGGTCCTTTCACCACATGCCTTTATATCCTGGACCTGATTCTGAGCCGTGTCAGTACGTAAGAGCCGCCCCATTAGCTGCCTGGTGTGGACGTACTACTGTGTATGTGACCAGTCTCCTGCGGAAGGACATTCAGGTTTCCAGGATTTTGGCATCACAAGCAGTGCTACCATCAGGAACATTTGATCCTCCTCAATTCTTCATGTGCCAGGGTATCTGATGCATAAATTCCAAGACAAGCAGCCGCTGGGTTGAAGGTGATTTGCATTTGATACTTTCATACTTACTGCCATACTGTCCTCCCCACCCCCGCGGGCGTGAGCCAGCCCTTTCTTCACCCACACAGACGTTGGCCAACCTTGACCCTTGTCAATATCACATGTGGAAAAATGCATTCTCGGGTTATCAGTTGCATTTGTTTTATTTGGAGGAGGCTGAGCTCTTTACCTTATTTTTAAAAACCTTTTGTATTTCCTTTACAGTCTGCTCACCTCCTTTGTATCATTGCTTTTCATTTGAAAAGTCAGAGGTGTGAACTGTGATATGAGACTATTAAGGGGTCAAACCCATTGGTGCGACAGTATGGAGAGTGGGATCCCACTTTTGCTAAAATAATAATTTAGAAATAGCCTGGAAGTTATTCCCTAAGTGGGAACGGTGATTAGCTCCAGGGGGCCAGGCTGGCGGTGACTTTTGCCTCCTTTTGCTTCTGTGGATTTTATAAAATGTCCCCTGGAGCAGGCATATTAGGAAAAAGAACGGACGATTCCTACCATTCTGGGTGGCTGCACCTCGGCGCACCTCTTGTCTGACTTTCTGGTCCAACAGGTCAGGACACTGAGACCCAGCGAGGGGCCAAAACTGCCCTGGAACCTGGTGTGGCTTCCCGGAAGTTCCTGGGTCCCTACTCATGGCCACGAGGGGCCCTAGGAGGCACCAGGCGTGTGGTGCGGGGCGTGCGATAGCCAGGCCACAGAAAGGCTGGCTCAGGCCTGCCTCCTCCCCTCTGAGCTGGGGAAAACCTTCACTGCTGGAACCGGAGAGCAGCCGTCTTACTGCTTTTCAGAGGGAAAATGCTTTTTTTCAATTTGGTATCTCGCCCTCTGTGACCATTGTCTGTGGCCCCTGCTCCCTGGGGGTAAGATTTCTTGAGCCCCCTCCGGGCCAGGCACTGTGCTGAGCCCATTTTACAGGCGAGGAAACAGGACCCGAGGAGCCACCTGCAAAGGGGACCAGCCAGCAGGGTGCAGCTCCTTTGATTCCTGTAACTACTGACTTAGCCCCTCTGATCAAGCTGGGGGATCCCTGGCTAATTTTTTTCATTTGTAACTTGGATTTTCTTAAATAAGAGTTAATGTGAGTGCATTCTAGACACCAGCATGGTGCAGAGGCCCTTCACATGCACCGGTCTTCTTGGATCCTCACACCCCCTGCAAGGAAGGTTCTGTTCCAGGACCCATTTTTCAGAGGAGGCAACAAAGGCCTGACAGGCTAAGTAACTTAATCATTCACTGGGCACCAGACTCCACCCCCAAGCCACCCCCTGGACGCTGCCCCACTCGCTGCCCTGTGCCCAGTGAGGTGACCTGGTCATCCAGTTAACAGAGCTGTGGCCTTGAGCCAGCTCTTACTTCAAAGGGAGGACCTGGGGCTGGTGAGGAGCCCTGTGAAGTGCAACACTTACCAACCCTGGCGGCTTCCCTCAGTTCGTTCTCCCCCAAAAGGACCCACACCATGTGACCTGGGCAAGTCGCCTCATCTCCCTAGGGCAGAAGTGGGCAACCCTTGGCACGCGTGCCAAACATGGCACACCAGTAACTTTGCTGGCACGCAAAACCCTCTCTTATAATCTTCCATTTACAATTGTGA